TTCTCAGCTTTCTCTTCAAAGATGTCGTATTTATTTTTCTCTTCGTTTCATCCAGTATGACCTGACAGGGTGACTGAAGCAGCCATATTGGGGATAGAAATATGTGTTAGTTCTTCACAGGTTTGTCTGTTTATTTGTTTAAGTGGGGTGTTTGCAATCAATTTATGTCGTTAGCTGAAAGGTCAAGATTCTTCTGCTTAAAAATCAACCTCCCCAAATTAAAATTTTGGGTGTTTTTGTTTGTTTGTTCATGTATTTGTTTTTCCATTGTGGTCAGGTCTCCACATGCGTAGAGACTGCCCTGGAGACGGGTTCCTGAGGAATGGCTGTCGAGTGTGTATCACTTCTACTCAAGCCTTATGAACACTGATTTCATGGAGAGCAGAGTACACGCTGTTCTTTTTGTTTACCTTAGGCATTTCTCTCACTCAGAGAAGTGATGTCAACTTGAGATGCTTCCCATGGTGCGGCAGGCAGATGGGGATGAGACTAAGATGGTGTCAGGCCAAAAGTCTAGTGGTATCTGAACCCCTCTGGGAAAGGTGTCTATGGAAATAAATGTTCACAGGATAAAACAAGGCCAAATATCGCTGAATTATTTGCTGGGACCCTGACTCCAAACCTTGTTGCAAACCTCAGTAGATCCAGGCTCTGCCCCATGGAGATTTCATTTTCTTAAGCAGAGTGGCCCCGAGGAGTCTGGAGCGGGTGCTGTTCATCTTCCCACCCAGATCCCTGTGACCACGCTGTTGTGCTCATGCTCCAGCTGCTTTGGGTGTTGCCTGCTAAGGGCTCACAACTGCCTCCTTCTCCAGAGATTTGTTTTTACCCAAGGGAGTCTCTTCACTTGGGAGAATATGAGCTCCCCCAACTGCCCCCTGCAGCCTATATCTAATGAGTAACCAACAGGGGATACAAAAGCCTGACCCTTGTTTCAAAGTGGCATCTACTCTGAGATACAATTCATGCTCCTGAGCATGTGGTGTGGTTGGGCTTAAGCTAGACCCCAGCTGAGACTGTATTATATCTTGGCTTAGTTCTTCCTCTCTTTAGTCTGCTTTCTTCACTTCTTTAACAAATTATGTATACCTAAATCCTTGTCTCAGGCTCTGCTTCCAGGGAGTCAGATATAAAACAGGCTACCAAGCCAAATCAGCAAAAAGATCTACCCCATCAATGTCCAAACCTGAATCTGGGGTCTTACCACTTCAGGGTAAAAGATGACCACACACACCGAGAGAAGCTGGACAGACAGTAGGGCAGATGCTTACCCCAGTGCCAGAGTGGAACTGCTTTAGACTTACCGGATCACGATGGAACTGCTCTAGACTTACTGGGATGGCGAAGGGAGTCACAGGCCTGTATCACCACATGCTGGCAAGATGGAGAGTATCAGAGAAAAAGAAAGATGATCTTCTTCAAAGGGGCTTGGGCTCCAGGTTCCTAGGAAAAACCAACAGCTGAGAGACGGAGCAGAGTGTGTTTCAGGTCCCTGCCACTGCAGACACAAGGGGGGTGTAGAAGAGACCCGACTTCTGTTCTTGACTTTTTAGGCAGGCCCGGTGAAAGCTCTGTTTCATCAATCATAAGTGTGTCTCTGCTTTGGGGTGGAGTTGGGGTGGATGAGAAGGGATGGAGTGGTAAATGTGTTGGAGACAGGTAGAGAAAAGGTGAAGAGAAGTAGTGCTCTCCTCCCAAAGGCCCACAGTGACCTACATCTACCTCTCTACTTGGTCTTATTTCTTGGACTTCAAATCCTTCATACCCCTCCTCATTGTGAAGTCTTAGCCCACCTTTTGCTTCTCTCAGCTTCCCTCCCACTTTCCTACTCGGACAAATTCTTGGCATTCGTTCAACAGGCATTTATTAAGTGCCTACAGGCATCAGGCGCTTTTCTAGACATTGGGGAGTCACTAGGAACAGCTGCCATCACTCGTTGCCAGTGGGGAAGGACACCCAGTAAACATGCAAACAGCTAAGAAGGTAAGTTCAGTTAGAGGTAAGTGCATTGAAGAAAATAAAAGAGCATTCGGTGCTCATTACGCTAGTATTCGTTTGTTGTTGCTTTGAGTCTTGTCTGCCCAGTGAGCTGCAGGGGCTTCGAGGGTGGAGATCTCCGCCAACACTTTGCTTTCTCCAAGATGCCCGGTCCAGTGTCTCACCCACCACTAGAAGTCAACACAAACTTGTTGATTTCTGGAGAGTGAGTACATTTGGGCTTTTCCACTTTGGACTAGACTTAGATTTCGATTCTGTTGCCTTTGGTTTTCTCCCATTATATGATCTGTGTTCGGTGGAGCAGATGGGGCCTCCGAGGGCCTGTGTTGCAGCCTCGTGCCGCTTGCTGGTGTGCAAACTACAATGAGTCTCGATGTTCATAGCTCCAGTTCCTCTGTGCAGGACAGGGGAGGTGAAAGTGTGTCTTATGGAGGATGAGATGAGATAATCTGCACAATGTTCTCCTTCAAGGGAGGATGTTGGGTGATGAGTCAAGTCCTCAGTTAGCACCACAGGTGTGACCAGCCTCAGGAGGATCCAAAAAGAACATGGGACTCAAGGCTCTTGCAGTCTGGTTGGTGTCCAGGCAATCTTGGCTATTGGTTTTGGGCTTGACTGAGGTTCCGAGCATAGGGTTTTAGGCGCTGGCAGAGGCAAATGGCAGGAGAAGGAGTCTCTCTCCCAGCCTCCCCATTGCCCCAGACCCAGAGTTCATCTTTTCCTTCCCCAAACGAATACCCTCCTCACGCCCCATTTCTCCCCTTACTTAGGCTTAAAATCCCAGCTTCCTTTTGGTTTTTCCCTTTCTCTCATCCTATTTTCTACTCAGGAGCCCAGTGCCTCGTGTTCTGTGTTTCTTTTTCTCAAACTCTCATCCTTTTCTTTCCTTTGCCCTTGCTCCGCTTCCAGTCCCAGGTCCTCCTTTTGCATTTCCGAGCGGCTGATGCAACTTCCTCACAAGTATCTCTGACCCCTGTTTCTCCTCATTTCAGTCCATCTGTTATACTTTGAGATCCCGCTTCCTAAAAGAAAAACAGTTCACACCCCTCGCGCTGGCATCTGGAACACTCTGCTGTGAAACTCTTCGACTTTCCCACCTTTTATCCTCAATATTGTAGCCAAATGCGCCCACTCACTGCTCCCTGGACATATCCTGAGTTTCCTGGGCCCTGAGCTTTTGCTCCAGCTGGTCTTGCTGTTGAGGATGCCACCTTTGCCCTGTCCTCCAAGGCCTGCTTCAGGTACAGCCCCTGATGCCATGACTGGTCAGGATCTCACTCTCGCCTCTGCCCATTCGTTCTCCTTACCTCGTACCTGTCCTGTGACAATTATATCCTATAGTTGCTCTAGAAATTTATGCACTTTGATGATGCTACTGAAGAGGTTTTATTTTGTCAGGTTCTAATGTGAACATTTCGAGAGTGTGAACTGGTGCAGGACCCTCTTCTCTTTCTGAAATTATCTTCATGAAACGTTTTGGTCATGCACAGATAGCTGAGTCATCAGAATGACTTCCAAAGCAATT